AGCTTTCATGAGATCTAGCTTTAAAGCCATGAAAAAGTTCTTCATTGTTCTGTGTCTGTTGAGAAAGTGAAATACCTCCTGAGCCAAGATTGCATTGTCAAGAAGCTGTCTATCCTGTATAAATGCTGATTGATAAGCACTGATGCAGGATGAAAAACAACATTTTAATCTGATGGCCAGAAGCTTAGAAAGAACTTTGTACACTACACTGCAAAAGGAGATTGGCTTATACTGATTGAGAGAGGAGGGAGAGTGACATTTGGGAATGAGGGTAATAATGGTGTGATTCCAATATTGCAGCATCATACCAATATTGAAAAAACTTTGAATAGCTTCAATTAAGTCTTTGTGAATTAAATTCCAACAATGCTGATAGAAATAAGCTGTCATACCCTCTTCTCCTGGCGATTTGTCAAGATGTAAGCTAAATAAAACACTCTTGATCTCATCTTCTGTGAAAGGGAAGAGGAGCTGCTGGTTCATATCTGCAGTGATGGACCGAAGGATAAGTTGCAGCATAGATTCTCCTCCACATGAACATTCAACAGTGAACATGTTGGAAAAGTGGCTAGTGATGTGTTGTTCTATCTCACTTTGGGTAGTGCAGGTTCTGTTGCTGTCAAGGGTTAATCTGGTTATTGCATTCAACCGTCTTCTTTGAATGGTATAGGCATGGTAAAATTTAGTGTTGGCATCTCCCTCCCTGAGCCATTTTGATCTGGATTTTTGGGCCCAAAATTTTTCTTCAAAAGCATAAGCTGCATCAAGATCTTTTTTCACTGTGTTCCATTCTTCCCAATTCTCTTCTCTTCCTTCTGATATGAAATTATCAAGCTTAGTTGATAGGTCTGCAATCTTTTCCTGATTCTGAGATTTGAACTGAGAGCTCCAAATGAGGAGGGCAATTCTTGTTTGCTTCACTTTTTCTTTCAGTCTGTAGAATGGAGTGCCTGCTTGAGGGATATTCCAGGCATTCTGAACTACTTTTGGGAAACCTTCCTTTGTGGTCCACCTTCTGTCAAAGTTGAACCTCGTTTTGAATTTATGATCCTGAGAGCCAGTGTCAAGGATAAGAAGGGAGTGATATGAAGATGTTCTAATCACATTAAGTATCCTGGCACGAGGATGATCACTGTTCCTGTCAAAAGAAGCAAATCCCCTATCAAGCTTCTCTTCCACAAATCCTTCAGTCTCCCTGTTGTTATATACCCCAGGTGAATTGGTGCCCTTCCATGCTTATCTCTTTCATGTCCATATTAGAGATGAAATTATTGAAACCATCAAAGCTGCTATTGCTTCTAAGTATGCCTCCTTTTTTTTCCTCATTGGAACAAATATCATTCCAATCTCCTATGATAAACCACAAATCTCCCCAGGATTGCTTGTCTTCCTCCAATCCCATTCTCTGAGTTTCTCTGACATGCCTATCTGCATTCATATAAACACATATGCCCCAGCCTTGATCTATACTCCCCAGCTTGTAATGGACTGCAATGTAGAATTCTTTGGACATTATTTGTAAGATCTCCTCCTCTTGATGCCAAAAAAAAGTAATCCTCCACTGAGTCCTCTAGGGTCTACAATAAAATTCCTGTCTCCAAAACCCAGCTTTCTACTAGTAGATTTAACAAAAGCACTATTATTTTTTGTTTCTGAGAGAAAAAAGAACCTTGGGTGGTGAGTCCTAAAAGACTCTTTGATTTGGAAAATTGTAAAGGGCCCACCCAGCCCTCTACAATTTCACACCGCAGCTAACATTGATGAGTTGGGTGCCATTTGAGGCTGGCATCCCTCACCTTGTCTTTTGTTACCTTGCTCATTTTCCCAGAAGATTTATTAGCAGCCTGTTCTTCCTCTGTATTGCCCTCTAAAGTGATAAGCTCCCTGCCCCTTTTGGCTCCTGACACTGGTTGTTGTGTAGGTACTGGTTCAACTTGCCTTTGGAGTCTGCCCACCCTGAAAGATGACCTCTTCCAACTACTACTCTTTACAACCATCAATTCTAGATTCTTCTCAGTACTCTGGTTTGTGGTAGTAATAGGAGTAAAAGAAGGTAAGGAAGTTTCTATCTCCATCAACCTATCTGTTTCTTGATATAGAATGGCTGAGGTGATAACTTCCATTGAGTGGTTTGGCTGAGAGGTAGTTTGCACTGATAAGGCCATCTGAGTTGTTGGTAGGGGCTCCTGAACTTCTAAGGTTGAAGCTATTGTATCTAGTAAAGTAGCCTCATGAGCAGTTTTGTTGTTGAGAGTATTCTGTTGCCTTTCTGAGTTGGTGGCAGATGGGCTTGATGGTTGCTCTGAATTAGGAGATTTCCTAGTGCTTGAGGGGCTGACTTGTTGCCATGGTGGAATTTCCTCAGTTTCAATCCACTCTTCATATTGGGCATCTTTCAGCTTGTGAGTTCTAATATCATCAAGTCTTTTATTGCAGTTTTTGTCTAAATGCCAAATAGTTCTACAATAGTAGCATAAGTTCACCAACCGTTCATACTTGAAGCCTAGTGTCACTATCTGATCTCCTAGCCTGATTTTAGTGCATCTGGGTAGAGCTTCATTAAGATTGATAGGAACCAGAAGTTTTAGGATTTTGCCTCCATGAGGACTTGAGTTTATAACTACTACATTCTTAACCTCTAAGAATACCATTCCAATTTTCAGCCCTACTTCTGCACTCAGCCAATCAAGGGGAAGATTGATTACCTGAGCCCAAAGATTCAGAACCTGAAAGTTTGAGTGAGAGCTATTCAGACCTTTTTCCCATTCCCTCAAAATCAAATATTGGTTGTCGTAAATCCAATTTGTTGCACTGACAACCTTCTTCATATATTCTATATTGTGGAAAATGAATTGAAATAATTTGGCTCCAGCTCTTTAATCCCTATCCAACTTGCCCTTCGGTCTCTGATGATTTTTCCGAAGAGACTTCGGCTACATTCTTCGGCATTGAGTCTGATATCTTCTGGTGCTATATCCGTAACTTGATCTTCCTTCGCCGATAATGAGAAACTTTGAAAATGTTTAGTCAGATCGTCATCTCTACCAGCACTGCCTGAGTCTTCCATTGAAACGCAATACGAGCTACAATAGTACACACTAGATCAAGAGTCTGAGAACAATCGCACAACACAAAGAAAAATAGAGATTGATGAAAATCAGATCAAAGATGAATAATCGGTCCCATATGAGATAATCACCGGAATTGGCTGCTCCCAAAAGGAGAATTCAATTTCAAGACCTAAGATATATACCGGATAATTATTTTTAAAACAAAAACAATGATTTTTTTTTTGTCCAGACTCATAAACATTTCTGTATCCGCCACTGCACATCATACCAAACAAACATCTTCCTACTATAGAACACAATTATCATCCCTATTCTCAATCATGGCCTACAAAACGAGATCACAATAGTCAGAACAATGTAATCAAAAGTATATGATAGATCTTGTCATATCCTATCTCAAGAAACAAATGAGCCTTAGGACTACTAAACTAATTCACCCACAATACGACAAACTATACAACTCCTACATAGAAGAATAACAACTTCTAAAAGCAGAATAAAAACTACAAATTATAAAAGCCTCCCATTTGGGAGAAAGAGAATACCAACACAAACAACACAAACACCCAAAACAAAACACTAGTAATACTACTAGAAAATAGAATAAAGTCCTTCCCGCAGCCGACAACCCCTACCGAGCTAACCAAGACAGCAACACCTGCGGCCGACCACCCACACACACAGAGTCATGTCCCAAGAAGCAAATCCAGAAACATCCAAACAACGCCTAACTAGATCCGCAACTAACGACCCAGCCCCACGCCAAGGCGAACGAACCCAGAACCAGAAGATCCACTCCCCAAACCACCCAACACAACCAGAAACCCAGGCCCTGACCCAACACGGCCCGTGACCCGGGCTCGCCGGCTTTCTCTTTAGTCTGGCACTAGGAAAAAATGAGACACGGGGAGGAAACGCCAACCTTCGCCCCGACAACCACAAATAGGTAGATCAGGGTTGCAGCCCTCTCTCGAAGAAGCACTAGAGCTCACCACCGCGAGGCTGCAGGGGAATTAACGAACCTCCTCTCGCTATGACGACCTGGATGACAAAACCCACTCGGGGGCGACCCACCTCCTCCGCCTCGAATGGTCCTCGTCCTTGAGCTCCAATGACATGAAATACACCAGGTGAAGGTCCCGACCAAAAACTCTCCATCGCTCAAGTTAGTAAAAGTACGTCAGTAAAGACGTAGATGGTGATGATGAATGAAAAGAGACCTGTTGCCTTTATATAGGATAGATACTTTGGAGCCGAAGAGAGTTCTTGTTGGGGAAGAGATCCAACCAGATCCTACTTCTCTAACGTACCACGTCTATATCTGAACAAGAGTCCTTAAGCGAGTGATTCTTTCTTTCTTACTTGTATTCTTTCCCTTTTACTCTTTCATCCCATGGGTCCTTAAGCCGTGAATCCGACCATCTGAGCTGTCTGTCGTGGCCTTCCCGCGGGCGTACATGACCTTGTCCTGAGGTCTAGCCCGACCTCATCGTTAGGTCCATCCTGTCTTCAGACCACTTGACTTTGATACCTCGAGGTCGGTTACTTTGTCGAGCTCTTGGTGGTTGCTGGTAGTTCCGAACCTTAAGCCCATATACGAGCTACTTGACCGAGCATCTTACCTCGATATATAATGGAAATTAAACCCTGGATCCTACATTAAAAGATAGATGGGTATGGGCTTACAAAAACTCAGGGAAATTCTCAGCGGCTGCTGCTTATGGAAAATGCATTGAGGATAAAGTCAAGAGGATATATAAGGCTGAGGGGAGCAGGACTGTTAAGAAAGAAATTCAGGCAAGGAGAAAAAGTTGGAGCTTGAAGGTGAAAGGAAAATTGAAGCACTTTCTGCGGAAGTGCTATTCTTTGGAATTGAGATATTGAAGAGAGGGATGCAATTGGATACTATCTGTAAATGTTTCTAGGAGGATGAAGAATCCATTGGACATGTATTCTTTAGCTGTAGAAGAGATTAGGAGGATTGGAGGTTGACTGCCATTAGTTGTGATGGGTTACATGCAGCATTTAGGTCNAGCAATCAAATATACATATATATATATATATATATATATATATGTATATATATATTTGATTATTTTTTAAATAGTAACTATTTCCCTAAAAAAATCTATTTACTATTTTGGGAAATTAATTTAGCAATTTATGGTACATTTTATATAATCAGTTATGGAAATTGCGGCTCAGTATTTAAGGAAATAATTAAGCCATATAAAAATACATTTTTAAGATACCTTAGTTACGCAAATTAAATTTAACAATTTATGGTATATTTCAAATAATAACTTATGGTAAATTCATTTTTAAGACACCTTAATTTCTCAAATTATGTGAATTGACTGATTTACCCTATGGAAATCTCGGCTGCACTATCAATTATGTATTTTGGTAAAAAATTTCTAACTAAATTGTATAATTTATTATTTTATAAGTGTTTTATATTTTCCGTGTAATTCTTTTATAAAATATATTTTAATATACCTTAATTACGCAAATTGTGTAAATCCGACTGCTTTATTAAATCTGTAAATAATTACTACAATTATAGAAATATCGACAACAATAATTAATTATGCTGTTTGTAAAAAACTGTTCTAAGAAAATGGTGTTAATGACAATTTCTTATTAAATATTATTTAATAAATATTATTCATTTTTTGTGTATTTAAATCGTGGATAATTAAGAAAATAATTTGACCGTAAAAATTTATATTTTTAAGATACCCTAATTACGCAGATCGTGTAAATTCCTTTGATTTATTTAATTATAATTTCTTATAAAACTATGCTAAAATAATTGTGTTATTGGTAGTTTCTATTTAATTATTTTTTAATAACTATTTTTTTGGGTATTTTTTATTTTTATCTATAATAAATGTTTGTACTTTGTGCAATTAATTTTGTGGTTAAACTTAATATCATTTTTTGTATTTTATCAATAAAGTATTAAATCGAATTATTTGGTATATTATATATTGATCCAATATATCCGCTTATGGTAATGAATGATATCTCAATATTTTTTTTCCATATTGCTAAACATTTTACTCGATATTAATGAAAGAGAAATCTGGATAATACTGTGGTCCATTTTTCTTTGTAAATGTGCGTGGAACATATCAAATTATTTGGGGGGTGTGTGTGTGTAAAGGTTTGTTTTTACTTAAATCACATTGTAGTCAAATCAAATTTCTGAATAAGAATTTTAAAATGACACCTATTTTGAAATGAATATCATGTAACTTATTATAAGTTATTTGCACCGTACGGGTCGTGTACTAATTTTAAATAAACATGTTTTATATAATTTTGCACAATTTAAATTTCATATAACATTTTCAACAAATTAATATAGGTAAATTGTGTTATATGTTGATTCCATATTTCTAATCTATAAATATTATTTAATGATCATTTATAATTTATGAATATTAATGAATATTTCTTAACCGTGCATCGCACGGGATTTGTACTAATTAGCTTGATGTAAGAGATGAAACTAGGTCCGGTTGGTTTAGTGGTTTCATTTTTTCTTCTTTTGTATTTGTTTTTTTATTGGTTTGATGCTCTCTTCTCTGTTTTAGCTAGACTAGATTAGAGGTCCCAAAGCTTGTACTTTGCCTTTAGTTTAGCAAGGTAGCTTTGTGTTTCAGTTGGTTGCTTATTCTAGGCCACCCTTGTGTGTGCCTCCTGCATTGAACCTTGTATAGATTCATTGTTTGGTTTGCAAGGTAGTGGTGGATCTAAATAGATGAGCTCACCTGCACATAACGTGGTCATTGTAGTGGAAAAATGAACTATTTTAAATGACTACATTTGATATATTGTTTGAAATCCTTGAAAATAAATATTAAAATCCATGGAATTAATTTCGAAATCATCCAATTTCCATTGTCATTGATTGAAACTTTAGAATATGTAATCCATAACCCCAAATCCATCTATCCAAGTACATCTTAAAATGTAGATTACATTCATGCTTTCAAATACAATTGATTGAAATGCTTGCAAGAATCTCCAGAACAATAGTTTGATTTTTGTTGAGACCTGGGTTAACAAGATTTTCCATGTACCCCTTCAATATCTAAGAAAATACTGTAAATGCAAGCTATAAAACATATGCAGTACGCAAGTACGCATCTTGTACACATAATCTTTTGCCAACGGACAAATTTTGTGATTCCATACACAAGATTACAGAACATTTATCTCGGTTGTTTAGCAGCAACAGAAAAAGAAACTCGGTGAGGCAAGTCTTTTTGTTCTTGACTAGGATTGGGATTAGGGTTGGGATTGGGATCACCTGCTTCTTCATCCTCTTCAGTCTCTTCAGCCGGTTGGCTTATTTGCCTCTTGGGAATAGCAAGCTGATAATTCGGGCTGATCAACGTATCCTCTTCTGGTGGCAGAGGGATTCCATGCCCTGCTATCGATTTTGGCAACGGAACCTTATTTCTGCTCCTAGCTAACTCCAACAGCACCTTTAAGGAATTCAATGTCGAAATGTTAATTCAAAAAAGAAAAAAAATAGCATATATATTCGAACAAAGATATGAATTTTCACTGTATAATGAACCTACTCTCAAGTTTTCATCAAAAATCAAAATTACCCTTTTCGGGCCTAACTGCAAAATATACTCTCTTTCACAATTTACAGCCTCGAAAAGGGGGCAAAGTATTAAGCTAGACAGAAACTCAAAAGGGTTGTTTGTAGTAATTGGGAGGACATGAGGATTTGTGCAATTTCACTAAACTACAAGGGTACTTGAAATAATTGTCAGTATCATTCATCAGTAAGGGTGACAAGAAACAGCACTAAAGAGACTAGTCCAAGCACATGCTTCTTTAAACTTCTTGCATTGCTTATCAAATACAAGCAGTCGATATATCATTTTAGTTATATCATTTTAATTTAACCCGAAGAAGTAAGATTTTGAATGAGTTGCTTCATTCAATCTGCCTGAAGTTCATGTTATATCATCATAATTCTTCTAGTCAACTTGCCATCTAATCCAACATACCATATTCATAAACACAAACCTTATGGCTAAGCTTAAGTTGTAACTAAAAACAAATTCATTTACATCCAAAAATTTCAAACAGTATAAGCTCCATCTTCACAAGCACAAACATAATGAAACCAGAAAAGCACATACGTAGTATGATTGGAAAGAGAGATACTCGTATATTTTTACACAATTTATCCATCTAACCGTCAGGTTACATTTTCTTATTACCAAAAGACATTTCGAACATTCCCCTTAAAAACCAGGGAAAATTATAGGAAAATTACCTCTCGAGGAGGAGGCTGGGAGAAACTAAAGTTGACTTTAGATTGGATAGAAAGCTTTACATCATCGGAATCGATTGTGGACTTTCCGGCATGTTCCGAGTAAACCTGTGCATCTGTTAAAACATCAACAACATACCTATACCACAGCTCCAAGAACTGGTTTATAACCCGAGGCTCGTAATCATGGACACCCATCGATTTTAGCAATTCTTTCACGATTTTCGCATCCCTCGGTAAATTATCCTCCTCACCCCCTTCCGCCATTTCTCACACCCCTAATGGCCGCTGAAAGAAACCCTAATGTTAGGTTCATATGTAGTTTTTTGCACTTTATACACACAGACACACAATTCAACTTAGAAAATAAAGATCGAAACTTTTTCTGAGAGATTTTTCACCAAGACAAGTGCGATTGAAAAATTCCAGCTCCATAGTGACCAGTTCAATCGAAGTAANTTAATCGAATAAAGACGAAAGCTCACCTCAGAATTATGGGCCGTGAACGAGAAAACACAGTTTTAGTTAAAATAATAAAATCCCATTACAGCATAAGATAAAAATACCCTTTTGAAGAATGTGGCAATTTACGGAAATTGAGGATTGAAATGACGAGTGTTGATACACAGAAACAGAAGTGAAAAAATAAATAAAGATCCGTTATTGGCTGGGGTTTCGATTGCTGAACTGAGCTTAGAAATTCTACAATTAAGCAAAATAGACGCAGCCCACTATTTACGAATCCGGCCCAATGGACTGTTCAATTAAAAGCTAAATGGACGTAGCCCATTATTCACGAATCTGGCTCAATGGAGTTTTTGAAATATCGACAAGTGTAATGGTGCAATTTCATATATCTAGAAAATTACGTCATTCATTTATAAATCTCTATTAATTTATATACTATATAAATTTACAAAATTTTTCTTCTTAATTACAAATATAATAACTTTTAAGATTTATAAATAGTTAATTTGTGGTTTAATTTTTATTATAATTTTATTTTTATGGATTACGTATGATTTTGTTTTTAAATAATATTATTGTAATCTTACAAAAAACTTACAAAGTGAAAATATATATATATATAATGATTAATTAAATATCTAATTAGTTTCATTTAAAAACTGATGATAGTAGATTATGTAAAAATAAGAGTCTTTGTTTTGTAAGGTTTGTTGTTAGGACCAAAGGTCCAAAAGAACTTGTTGGTTAATAATTAAGCTTACTTGTTTAAAAGATAAAGTCATTATTTGGATATTACTGATAGTGGATAGCTAATCGTATTCACGAACAACTTGTTTATAATTAATACTTAATTGTAATAATTTATTTAATTAGTAGACTGCATAGCGATTTGTAAGAAGTTTGTATAGTTGTTTTGAACTAACATTGCTGTGTTGAGCTTTTCAGAATTTGTATTCTGGGCCAAAATTTTAGTTTCTTAACAAATTAAAATGAATATTTATTCTACAAAATGTCATATATTTGTTACGTTGTTTTTCAATGTTTGACATTTCAGTTTAAAATCATGCATATCTATTAAAAAAGTATGACTGACTAATCTCTCTAAGAATAACCAGCTTACAGTTGTTGAAACGATCGATAAAGTGAACCTTTATTATGAAAACCATCATCATTTTAAAAATAATGGAAAATTGATCTTGTTAAAAGGTGAATAATATTATATAACCACAACATGAACAACTAATTAATCACAACGAAAGGCAACTATATAATGCATAAATCCCAATCCATCAGAACACAAGCCAATAGTCCTTAAAAACTATTTCATAAAAAATTGCTAATCAATGTTTCAGCACTTGTGATAGCACTACAATTCAAACATAATATATCTGACCCTTCAAATGTAAAACACAATTTTTGTTTTCACCTTAAAGCAAGCAAGCAAGCAAACAAACAAACAAACAAACTAGTTTATCAATCATGAATAGTCTATTTCAAACTGCATTCAATTTTTTTTATNACAAAAAAAAAAAAAAATTATGTCTCAAACGGTCTAATCGTTAGGCAAGTCGACACATCATACACTGGAGTATGGAATTTCAATTAAAGTATTCATTTGAGTTTTATTTTTATTTTTATTTTTTTATTATTATTAATGTGGAAATAATTTTTAGGCATTTATAAGTACCTGCTCATATTGGTGAGTCGAGGCAAAGTTATATGGGCCTGGGGCTGGGCTCGGGTAATGCAGCCCAGTTCCATGTGAAAAGCCCGAGAAGTTTTGAATTAGACAATCCACTTCTTGAAAGCTTAAGAACTCATCAGCCGGGTGCCTATGATTTGCGGAGCTTGAACCGGCCCGAATAGTGCCCGGGCCGGGCCCAATGGGCCCGTAATGCTGGTGAAAGTGATGATAATTGGAAGCACCATTTAGTGGTGGTGTTTCAGTTGCAAGAGTCCCATCACTCGGCGTTTCATTTTCAGATTGGATTTCTGATCTTTGTTCGGGTCCATAGGATTGACCCGAACAGGTCTTCAATACGGGCTTTGACCCGAATTTTCTGGGCTTGTGCGTGGGCCTGTTCAGGTCGTCAGACTCTGGTTGAGTGGATTGTTGAGACTTTCGCTCGAGAGGCGAACGCCAGTTGTCGTTACGACATTTCTGTGGGAAAATATATACGTTCATACTTAATTGTCATTCTTTAAAATGTAATATAAACAAAAAGTAAGACATCATAGTATTAGTATACATTTTTCATATATATATATATATATATATGAGTTGGTTCAAATAGAAATTAATCTTGGTGTGAGAATCGTGAGAACCATATTTGATGTTATTTTTAATTGTGTATGATGTTATTTTTAATATTACATGATGCTATCATGCACTTTAATAAAATATATTCTGGTTAAAAATAACACGAAAACACAATCAATCATAGCACTTCATACAATTAAAAATAGTAGTTCTCACATGGATGTCTAACAGTTAGGCAACTACAACACTATTTATATTTTTATTTTTATTTGATATATAAAAAAAAAGAACTTTTAAAATCGCTTCCAAGTATTTTCTCAAATATTAGGAGATCCATGCTATAGTTTGCATATTACTTTGAAGCTTTTGCTTGTTAGAACAAACATCTAGTTATATTTGTTTATAAAACATTATAAATTACTAAAAGATGAAGAATAAAAAAGATACCTGCAGATGACTTGCCACTTGCATTCTGGTCAAACCAGGCACATTCATGAGCTCCAAAATCTCCTTAGGAAAACATCCTATTTGTTACACAGCGACAATAAACATTAGAACATGATCATTAAACATTACTATCAATGTTAACAACAATATGTAACGAATCAAATATAGTAAAATTAATATATCAATATTAAAAAACTTGAAAGACATCAATAACGTACTTCCTTCACCGAGTTCCTCCACAGCAGCCATGAATTTCGCGTGCAACTCCTGAGTCCACTCGGTACACATTTTTCTCTTAACATTATTATTATTATTCGTCACACGAAGATTTTGATGATCTTGCTCGAGTCCTTCAATGCCACCCCTCTCTCTATTCTTCTTCAATTTTCCTTTGTTCTTATTCATCACCATTTTTTCCAAGTCATTAGGATCTTCGACATTCCTAATGTCAACTCCATTAATTGGTCCATTATTGTTGTTTGCAGCCATCAATATATCCCTTTCTCTTACCATTCTTGTTTTCTCTCTCAAAGCATGTTGCCAAAGACATTTCAAAATCTCAATTGTTAAAGGTTTCTTGACGTAAAGGAATGCCCCACTCTCGAGAGCCTTCATGGCCAAGTATGTGTTATCATCATTTGATGTCACTATATGGTAAGAAATTGAGGTGTAAGATGATCTGATTTTATTAAGGGCATGCAAAAATCAATTTGGGATGAATTATACAAGACAAGAGAAATTAAATTAATGCGGGCTAAATGTTTTGTGGTTTATCTTGAAAAGTTTAGTGCTTAGATAGAGGTACTTCACAACTATGTGTGATATTAGATATAAGAATTTTTCAAAAAAAAAAAAAATGTCTCATTTGAAAAATAGATAGATTTGAGATTGTGAGTGATTATAAAATAAAAATTAATGATTAAAATAATTGATGTGATTTAGAAATAATAAAATATTAGTTAGTATGGTTGGGACTTGGGAGTTAGAAAAGTGTGAGTAAACCAATATAATTTTTTTGGCTAAAAAATACAAAATAATGATTACTTTTTATTTTTCAATTGTGTTATTGTAGCCTGTAGGAAAAAGTTGAAATGGTATGAATAGTAATTTTGTATTTTATTTATTTTATTGTTTAAGTGAAATGAACCTTGAATAAGCACAAAAAATTGAATTAGCAACAGAATTTACATGAACATTTAATATTCTGACTATTTACATTGAAATGTCATATTAATTAAAACATATATGTGAACAAAATGTGATATTTTGAAATATGATCGATGTCTAACATCGATATTTGTGCATCTTAAATAGTGCCTTTATTTTCATAGAATCATATATATAAATACAAGTCGGTGAATGATATATATTAGGGCGGAACATTGTAGTTAATTTTTTTTTTTTTCTTTCTCTTATTTTAGAAATAATTCTATAAAAGATGTGAGAAAAAACAATTATTATTGAACAAATCCAATCCAATTGCAATATAGCTTACCGACTGTGGGCAAGCCCATGTTAACAGCCTGCTGTAGAAGCTTAAATCCATGGAGATCAGGTGAGTTTATGTTTGCAATCACCACATCAAACTTCCCCTTTCCACTTATCAGCATTGATATAGCAGCAGAAGCAAATTCAACTAGAGTAACTACACAAAACCACAAAAAATATAATAATAAAATGTGAATTATAAGATCAAACAACGTTTAAGATAATATTCAAGATGTATTCATCTTGAAGTTAAGTAAATATAGTGTTTGATTCGAAAAAAAAAAAAAACAACAACATTAAAACCCTCGATTCAATTTATTCGAATCAATTCATCTTGTAAAACAATCAAAGAAATTCCACTAAGCTAATTCCAATCAAATTAAGTTCTAGATTCTTATTTGAGAATAAGTCAATCGACTTCCAAATTAACATTGGTCAATTTGAAATTCAAGACAGAAAAGATCTAATCCACAACTATTCCACCTCGAATATCTGAACTCAAAGAGTTCATAGAGAAATTGTATCCAAAATATCTTCATATTCAAGTGAATTTAAGTTGTACCCAAGTTTTATGTTCCTTCAAAAAACATTATTTTAAATGTAGCCGGAATAATAACATCTAATCACATTATATAATCAACACATTATATGGTCAACTGTCAGTAATAAAAAATTTAAAATAATTTTTGTAATTTTAAAGTGATTAGTGTATTGATTATCTAATAATTAAATAAAAAGTTAAATAAATCAGAGATAACAGTTTTTGGAGGGGAAAGAGTTATATTGCCACATAGATAAAATTAAATAGATTTTATTTATTGTGTTTCATTTAATGACTTACTAGCAATTATATATATAAATATAGATAAATAAGGGGGAAATTCTATTACAGGGCTTGAATTTTTGTTATTGTGTAACAATAGGGCATGAATTTTCAACTTTTTCATTTGGGGGTTTCAATTTTAAGTTATTATTAATTAAAGACTTAATTTTACGAATCTGGTTAAAGCCTTATTTCAGAATAGGGATGCTGAGGCAGTATTGAAGATCAGAACTCTTAACCCAAATCTGCCAGACAAGTGGAAATGTCTCCTTGACACAAAGGGTAAGTTCTCTGTGGCTACTATGTATACATCTTTATTGAGTGATAAGATTGGAGTGCTGGAGGAGGCAGAGTGTAGTAAGGTGGTGTTGATTAACTCAAAAGCTAGAATGAGGTGCTGGAAATTGAAGGTGTTGGAAAAAATAAAACACTTCATTTGGAAATGTTTTTCAAATATATTGCCAGTAGGAGTGAACATTCAAAAGAGAGATCTTAAGGTGGATGTGATATGCAAAAGCTGTGTGGAAGGGGAGGAAACTCTGGAACATGTGTTTTTTCTTTGTCCAAAGGCTGTTAGAACATGGAAGCTGGCTCCAATACATTAGGACAAGATGCAGACAGAACAACTTAAGGAGTGGTGGTGGTGGATATGCACAATGGACTACAAGGAAACTTTGGAGGATAGAATTAAACTCTCAACATACATCTTGTGGTGGCTATGGAAGGCAAGAAACCTTTGAGTCTTTGAAAACATCTGGAAACCGGAGTTGGTGATAGTTAAAGAGGCTGTGCAAGATTGGAGAGAGTTTAAAGCCAACAGAGAATTAAGGGGCTGCTGCAGTGAGGTGAATGTGCTAGGTTTAGTGTCAGTGGTATATTTTTCCTTGCTTGTCTTTGATAATTCTCTTAGTAGCTTTTCTCTTTATTCTTATGAATTATGTGGGATTGGAGGGTGCAGCGTGTATGAGTCTGCCTTTGATTCCTTGTTATTAATGAATGTGTATTCATCTAGTTGATTATTTAGGCCGCTTGAGTGGAGCAGGCCTCTCATTGTATTAGGCTTGGGACTTTGGCCCTTGTTCTTGGACCTTTATGCTTGTTTTTGGAAATGAGAATATCTATCGTTTGGGGAAAAAAAAAATTCTCAATTTAAGATACTAACTAACTTTATGTTTTTACATAAGTATGTAAACTAAAATACTATTATTTTGAAATTTATATTATATATACTTATAAATATCTTTAGTAAATTACTTTAGTAAGCAAATTAATTCATTTAAGCTACATTTATACAAAGATTTAATGAAACTTACTTTAAAATTCTTAAATATTATATTAATCGATAATATAAATATGTAATAAAATTAGAAAAGAAACTATTTAAAAAAATTATTTTTTCCTAATTAATATTATTGAAAATACTAATCCGATATAAAAATATTATTTAAATTTTTTATGATTAAAATTGTTATTTATAATAGTATTATTTTGAAAATATGTTATCTAAATTTTATTTTAATTTATTTTATTTTTAATCTAAATATGTAATACAATTAAAAAATAATTTATTTAGAGTTATTCTAATTTTTTTCTAAGCTTAGCTGTTGATGATGTTTGGAACTATGAAATTTATATAAAATGAAATATAAAAATAAATAGTGAAGCTTATGAAAAAACTTATTTAATTCAATAAATAATTTATTTTCTAATTTTATTAAATACTTATACGTCAATCAATATAATATTTAAATTATATATTCTTAAAATTAAATTTATAGTTTTTTGAACTTTAAAAATAAGTTTTGCAAAAATTTTGCATAAATGTAACTTATATGAATTAATTTTCTTACAAAGTTAGTTTTATAAAATATATTAATACTTTTATTATAACTATTAATTCCCCGCCGGAGGGTATTCGTCAATGGCCACAACACGATATTATTGGAGTGGCCCATACACGGACCGTCTGCAACGTAACCCATTAGGCGTTTAGCCTCTTCTTTTGTACCAATTTTTTTTTTATATATTCTTAACTTTTTCAAAATATAAATTTTATTCAGAAAAATTATTTTCTATAATTCTATTTAAAAAAAATAAAATTATTTTTCAAAATAGTTTATTTTTTGCCCTAGATCTTTTCCTTTCCGCCTTCTCCAGCGGGACGCCGCGCGCTTCGACGACGGCTGATGACCCATGACTGCACGGACCTTTCCCTGTGGTGTCGATGTTCGTTCTCTTTAGGCAGCAGGGTGGACGACGGTTTGCAAGGGGTTCTCGCCATTTCTCCTGGTTGTCTCTTCGGGCCGGTAGTTGTTGATCTCCCGGGTGGCAAGGCTGTGGCAGATGTCGGTCCTTCTGAAGGGAGGGGTTGTGGCTCCGACAGCCAGATTGTGGCAGAGTAGAGGAGACTTGGCTCTCCCCCTTGTTTCCTTGGCCTCTGATGCGTGGGTCGAGAGGACGGTCGGTGCGACGAGCCCTGGTCCGTGGTGTGGGCAGGGCTCGGAGCGGTGGTGTTGTGGTAGGGGTTTGGTTTAGTTTCCTGAGGTGGGGTCGGTTGCTTGGGTGCGTGGTCGAGTTCTAGGGTCTGATTCCAGGTAGGCGTATGAGTTGCAATTTCTGGTTATGGGGCCTGGGGCGAGTTCCGGTCCGTATGGATGGTCGGCCATAGGTGTTGCTGTCGTTGTTGCTTAGCGTGTTGATCCTTGATTATTTTTTTAATTTGTGTTTGTGTTTTTGGTGTTTTGTTAGTGTTTGGTGTGTTTATTTTTGTTTGTAGGTCGTGTTTTGTTTTCTTCTCCTTTGGAGGAGCGTGTTATTTCATGTGGGGAGTGAGTTTATGTTATTCTCCTGTGGGGAGTTTGTGTATTCTCCTGTTCGGAGCTTTTTATTTTTATTTTTTGTCTTGTAGTATGTGTTGTGGTATCTAGGCTGTCGTCTTATTCCGACTAGTTAGCTAGCTGTAATTGTGTGTTTTTAGTTAATGAATCTATCATTTCGAAAAAAAATAGTTTATTTTTTAATGTGATCACATTTCACATATTAGATTAAAATTAAGTTAAAATTTATATTTTGACTTTTAAAATAAATTTCATTAAGCTTTTGCATAAATGTAAACTATGAAATAATTATCTTATTAGGTAATTTTACTGAAGATATTTAATATTTTTCATTATAAATACTTAAAAAATATTTTTTTTAAAAAAATGAGTTTTGATTGACATAATTATGTCAAAATATAAAGTGATTTGAAGTCTTAAATTGAAAATAACTTAAAATTAAAACCCTTAAATAAAAAGTTAAAAATTCATATCCTATTGTAAAACAATAACAAAAAGTCAAATCTGCAATAAATATGAGTTATAAACGTTGGTTCAACTTTCAAAATGCAGACAGCAAACATGTCTTGGTATAATCTCAATGGAATTTGCTAATTTATGAAACAAAAAAGTATTTATGGAATTTATTAATATTTGTCTTGTTGTCTTTCAATAACTTTAATGGACAATGATGACGACTTTATGCATTAATTAACCAAGAAACGAAAGCTAAAGCAATTGCATAACAAACTAAACATACAGTTTGTGCTTGAATCTACGGTATCTACCAATCCAAACTCATGTACATATTATGACGACTTTATGCATTTAATAACAAAATTAAAAGGTAAAGCAATGCATAACAAACTAAACATACAATCTGCAAGACAAATATAATCTCTTAGAATTCAAATACCTTGTTAAGAATTGTATTCAAAGAAACACTGAAATACAAATTCTACTTAGCTGTGAATAAGATTCGTGAAACAAAACAACCACACAAACGATACATAAACAGAAAAACAATTCAATAATTTAGAATGACGCCTGTATTGATCAAGCTAGTTGTAATAAAATTTTCAAAAATAATTCAATAATTTAGAATGACGCCTGTATTGATCAAGCTAGTTGTAATAAAATTTTCAAAAATAATTCGATACTTCCAAATTACGCGCCCGGATCTAACTAATGTAAATTTCTTATCCACATGCATAATCATTTGGGCAAATAAAGAACACAAATCTTATAACGAAGCATAACAAGTGGATAACTTGATATATTTGATCAAAAAATGACTAAAGAAAAAGAAAAAGTTGTACATAAGGAAAAAAATCCAACCCTTATATAACAAGACTTTTAATGATAATGCAACTAGTAACACATAAAATTTATTGGTCGTCAGAGCCGACCCTGGTGTAGGGCGGGCTGGGTGACCGCTCAAGGTCCCCACTTACTCCAAGACCCAATATTTTTAATTATTGGA